TAACACGACCGCAAGTACAGCAGCACCCGCCGCCACAATTCCGCACCCTATCAAATACGCCATGAACATCTTGAACGTCATTGGGTCCTTTGCAACTTCCAGTATTTTCCCGGGAACCCAATCACTGGGAGTCGATAGAAAACCTGGAGGAATTATTATCCTCTCTTCCCCATCTCCATTAATAGCCTGGTAGCTTCCTTTGAAATGATGCAAGCTCCTAGGAACCGTGATCACATCGGATACAATGTTAGTACGTAGAACCTTCTCATTGATTGGTGCGTCACATTTGAAGATACCACACCGTAAACGAAAGTAAGCGGTACATGTATTATTAATGGCACGTGATGCTGTTCCAGACTAAAAATATGCGACGAGACAATTGTTACCGACTGCTCCAGACTCGGTACCAGACTGTACCAGACATGCCCAGATTCGACTAGCCTCGAGCCAGATAGGTTCCAGACTAAAAGAGTGGGTTTATCCAGTTGTTTCTATGTAGAGTTTACAGTCCGGATAACCATTCTGAGATAAAGTGACCTAATTCGTCCCTGCATAGTCCATATAAGTATAGTTTTGTGGAATGATATGTAGAATTACATTTAGTAGTACAAGTAGAATTATCGCTAGACATCAAATATACCACGTTTAGCAGCTATCTCTATACTGGTTGGTATCCCTGTTGTGCAGCCTCAAGGCTACACCACTTTCCAGTAGTTCGCTCTAGGTAAGTAGAACTCCATGTAGAATGATATGTAGAATTGATTTAGTAGCACAAGTAGGACGATCGAATTGAAGTAACAATCCATTTGCTTTATGTCACTTTCCGTGATTTCACCCGTAGCACATTATAAAGTATCGATATCGTAGAGATTGCAGCATATGCTTGTTGACGGATCTCCATCGTGGTACTCCAGTAAACTGTTCAAGATTTAGCAATACATACACACCACCGTTGTAGCTGTCGTATTCTAATCGGACATCCGTGCAGCTGTCGTGTAAAGTGTACGTAGTTCCAGTTGTGGTTGTGTTGAGAAGTTGTGCTAATTTGTGGGCCGCTGCGCGAACAAAGGTTATATACTTACACCACATTGGGTCGTAGATATGGACTTCCTTTGTCGGCAACCTGAACGTAATGCTGCACAAATGGTTCCCGTTACCATTGAAATAGATAAGTATGAATTCGCTACGAGATGATCGTAGCATTGTTCGTATTTGCTCAGTGTCCACCGTAACCAAACCATTTAAAACAATTCCCAAAATTGAAGGATCCACGAACGTCACGTTATCGGCCTTGTCGAATAGTTTTCTTGCCACCACGCACATTGAATCATCACACAAAACCCCTTAGCTGCAAGATCTAGGGCGTGATTCTGTAGAACAGCAAGTTAGTATCAAAAACGTGACAATCAGTATCGCAAATTCACTTGTGTTTCCGAGTCCAGAGTTAGTGGTATGTGCTGGATTGTAGCTAATGCGTCTAAACGGTCTACTATAAAATGGCTCGGGAGGGCATGGCATAAATCGAGTTGCTGTATCCATGCTAATCCACAATTAATATATGAGATAGCCTTCATCGCGCGATGCCAATTTTCAAAGTCATAAGGATAGACGCACGAAAAACTCCAACTCTTTGGATATCAATCGCGACATCTTTCTCGGCCAGCCCTCCACTTTTCTACTGTAATACAGAGACCGTGGTACTGTATTTGGATATATAGGATTGTGCAATAACCCGTTGAAACTCTTCAGGTTTGATTAATGGTTTTGTCGCCGGCAAACCCGAAGTCTTGTGGTTTTATGTTGGTTGTCAACTCCTATATCTGGAAAGCTTTCAGTGGTTTAGTCGATACATACGTTTCGTCGCCCGTTATAACGTCCTGGATTGTGATAAAACTGATATCTATGCTGTGGAGTTTCGAATCAAGGCGGGTTAGTTCAATCCCTTTATTCTTTTTTTGCCTGGGGCGTCGTTTTAGGTATTCCACGAGGCCGAGACGGAGAAACAATTTGTATGTCATCATTAAGTGATACGACAGGAGTAAGCGTTCTACGAAGATCTCGATAATTATTTGAAAGACACACGTTGGTACTGACAGTATCAGGATCAGTTCCCTCACGAGATGATTCTAAGACACCATTCAACGAAAAACAACCATCGCTTAGTACTGATAATTCTTGCAGCGCGCTCGGTGTGGGCAACGGTGACGAAAAATCCTGTGATGGAAGGTCATCATCTCCGTTTAAATTCGAATTGATTTGCGTACACATGATGGTATTTTGATGATTCACACTCGATATCTCAGAACGTTGTACTTCACTTCCGATGGACAAAGTTCAAAGTCATCATAAAATCGAACGAGCTCATCGAATCGTTAGTCTTCGAATAGGGTTACCACGCACTTTAAAACCTTTTGAGCGGATTTGCATTCACCCATACCCTGTTCTTTCTAGTACAGATGTCATTGGCAATAGTTTATGCTTCACGATATATCCGGTTACTATCCCATGATTGACTGACACTATGAGAAAAGATCGATTCAACACAAAAAGGAGTTACCACGGGAGAAAATCAGTTGTATTGTCCTTCAACGTCGACAACAACCAACGCTTATTAATAACTTTGCTGGGATAACATTGCCCATCTCCATATCTTTCCGGACGGAAAAAATGTATCTGCATGGCAAAAGTCTGGTACTCATAAACAGAAAAGAGTATTACCAGTTTATGGATTGAGTATTCAACACCCAGTGATTCATTCCCCTCTTTCTTATTTTTGAGGAACAATATCCCTGGAAGATCTTCGTACTAGCTGTAGGAGGCCCGATGTAGGGCATAGTCATACTGTTCGTATATTAATTCGCATGCGTGACGGCTAACCAAATTGATAACAAGTGCTATCTCCACATCGTACTCTGCATGATACACAACAGCTAACTTGTAAATGTGACTACTTAATTATTGCTCTGTCCGCGACTTCGCGATTGATACAACATTATTAACGCCACACTCTCATCCATCCCCATCGAACCGTTCACGATGTCCTTTATCTGCTTCCAAGACGCTTCCAGTCTATTGTTGGTATTATTTCCTAGTGTTAAAGCATTCTGACGCGTATATCAGCTGTAACGGGGTAACACGAAACTTCTAACCGGAACGCTAATCAGTTAGAGTTTGAAGTTTCCTGTTTTGGTGTGTTCACACACCAAGACTGCATTTGAAGAGATTCTACTGGTAGAGTGCGCCACACCTCTACCAATCAGCGATGTGAATCACTGCCAGCCACCCGCTGAGAGTCCCTTAGATATTTGATAAACGGTTTAGGAAGATAGCCCTTTAAACAAACAATACAGTTCTCATTTTACGCTATCTTGTTCCTATCTTGTCTTACCGTACACACGATGCGTGTGTACGCTATACGACGTGGGCATACCTAAGCTTCCTCCTACACATGCGCACACGTGTAAGCCAACTAGTAAGCCCTAGGCCCACTACACCTGGTAGCACTTTGTAGTCCGTCCAACGACCGCCTACCTTGTTCGTATGAGTTACGAACACAGGCAAGAGAATCTTCCGATGGACGTGTCGTCCGTCGGAAGCCCGAGCACGTCTGGTACGCATGTGGTGCGTACAGAGTGCCCCCACCTGGCGGATCCTAAGTGGGAAGCGCTCGGACGACTGTCAAAAGTCATTGGAGAGGCGGTCGTAGCGACAATGCTGCGCACGCTATCACCGACAGAACAACTTGGTGTTGCTCTGGGATTCATCATGATAGAGCAACATGAGGTTGCTACCTCGAAACCAGTGTCTCCGGGGGAGACACCGCGGAAAGAATACCTGAAGTTACGTGTCAGTAACTACATGGGCAGAGAAGGCGAGACCCTTCTCCGCTGGCTTGTCGAATTAGACACTGCCGTAATGGCTCGACGTCTCGTCGACCCATTGGCGAAGGTCTCCTTCGCCATGTCTTGTCTTGGCGGACGCGCATGGGGTTGGGCCTACGGGGGCCGACTCACTGCTTCAGAACGTACAAATGCTTCAAGGAGGAGCTCAAACTCACGTTTGATCCCCCACAGAATGAGTTCCGGTCGAGAGCGGAGTTTCTCGACCTGCAACAGGGTAAGCATGATGTACATGCTTACGCTCAATGGGCTGGGTACTTGGTCTCGAACGTCGTGACCGACTCGATGGACGAGGCAACCAAGGTCTCCACGTTCATGAAGGGGTTGAGAGATGGGCCTGTGAAGACCTATCTGTTCCGAGAGTACCCGAGTACTCTCGAAGCTGCAATTACCCTCGCAATGCAAGAGGAGGTTAGGCTAAAGAAAAGCTAAACTGCACACGAACGTACCATGCCCACCTCGGCTGGCTGCTAAGATGGAAGGTCCTGAACCAATGGAGTTTTCGTGTGCATCTGTTGTCGGGCAGCAGAAGAACAAGGGAAGCAACGTGCCATGCTTCCGGTGCGGAAAATGGGTCACTACGCACGTGAGTGTACGGCACCAGTGCACTCAAGCCAAGGTCGACGTGGCGATACTGGGTATCGTCACGATCGAACAAAAAACGCAGGGGACCAGTAGGCGCGGGGCACCCTACTGGTAGTGCCGTCACGCGTGTCTACAACGGACACGCGATATTAAGGACTGCAGCCCCCAGTGAGAGGGAATCTCACTGCGAAGTGTAAGATGACATGCCAAACCTTGTCATCTTGATGGTGAAGTCGATGACGAAGAGATCAGACTCTCTTCGGGTGTTGGTTGACTCGGGCGCGTCGAACAACTTTGTTCGTCAGCAAAGTCTACCGTTGTTGGACGTCGAGGAGAAGCATGCGCCGGGACCGAGACTCTTCATGGTGTGTCTGCCGGGCAGACAGAAGCGCCAACAGTGGTCGTCGAGACGTTGAACGTCTTGACGGGGGCCTGTACTGGGTACCAGTACGAGAAGATGGAGTCGGAGAACCGTCCGACTGATACGTCGGAGTTGATCTCGCTTGCAGTCACTTGTACGATGGACACATCGAACAGCTAGGCATTCTTTCGGACCGCGAAAGAATAACAAGCGAAGCAGAAGAGTTTATTCAACTCTTCGCTGTAAGCGCCACTGAGAGTGGAGATACGCTCAGTGCTAAGACGATGAAGGAACGCTTCGAGGTGCAGAGTTGGGACTCGCTGAAGTCGAGTCCCTACTACGAGATAATGCGATAGCACAGAGACATGCTCTTGGACGAGATCCCTGTGGAGCTTCCGCAGGACAATGGAATACAGCAGGAGATTGATCTCGTGCCGGGGACGAAGTATTGCGCGACGCCGCAGTGGTCACTGCCACGGGAGCAAGTGAAGGCGATCGACGACATCTTTGAAAGTCGTCGCAAGGCAGGACAAGTGCGGGAATCAAAGTCCCCGCCCAGCGCACCTACGTTCTGTGTCAAGAAGCCACAGGGTAGATGGCGCATCGTTTATACGTACAACAAGTTGAACGATCGACGATACTGGCACAGACGTCGATACCTCGAAAAGATATGATCGTCGATTCGATGTCCAAGAGCACCATCTACAGTGCTCTTGATCTGAGAGACGGGTTCTATAAGATCCTTGTGCGTGAGAGCGATATTCTTCTCACGGCGGTTAGCACTCCAAGCGGTATGCTTTGGGAGTTGCTGGTTATGCCGCAAGGCCTTAAGAACGCCCCTGCGACCTTCAATAGGTGTGCGACTTCGCACCGAGTTACTTCGAATATGTGTACAGCCGTGCTGTGAACGAGAAGACGGACGTCGAGATGCACAAGTAGCATATCTGGAAACTGCTTGGGCTCATGCGCAAGCACAAGCTCTATGCGAACCTGAAGAAATGCATCTTCTGTGCGAGCGAGATACCCGTGCTAGGGTGTCTCGTTGGGGAAAATGGCGTACGCCCTGACCTCGAGAAGGTCATAGTGATCAATGAATGACCCACGCCATCCAACGTGAAGAAACCGCGGTAGTTGCTTGGCCTTGCCACGTACTTGTGCAAGTACGTGGACACCTACGCAGGCAAGATTCGCCCCCTGTCGCAGCTTCTGAAGAAGGAAGCTGCGTGGGTATCGACTGCTGAGAGTCAGCAGGCGTTCGATGCAGTCAAGCCGGGCTTTACTGACGCGCCGAGCTTGGCTGTGACTGACCAAGATCGTCCATTTCACGTAGTATGTGACGCATCCGATTTTGCGATCGGATGTTCGTTAATGCAACTCGACCGCGAGGGCCGTGATCAAATCGTCTACTACCAGTTGCGTCAGCTGAAGCCGGCTGACCAAAACTATCTGATACATGACAAGGAACTCCTTGCCATGCAGTATGCACTCGCAAAGTTCCGAGTGTACTTGCTCGGCAACACGCTGTTCATGGTCTGTACGGACCACGCGACGTTGCGGACGGCGGTGAAGTCTCCGCCCATTTTGCAACGAATAGCGAGATGGTTGTCCTTCTTCGCGGAGAACAACTTCCGGGTCGAGTACAAACCCGGAAGGTTGAACGTCGTCACAGACACATTGTCGCGACGACCGGATGATGCTGTCAAGACAGCCGACGTCAACCGGGTTGACGTCGATCGAACATACACACCGCCTAGTCCTTGTTGGACGAGGTGAAGGCCGCGTATGCGAATGACGCAGACGCGAAGCAGCTGATCGAGTTCCTCTCAGCTCCTTCCGACAAAGCACGTCGGAAGTTGCCCCCTCGTCTACGAGCAAGTGCACACCGGTATCGTGTGCACGACGGTCTACTGGTTTACAGCGCTGTAGACGACAATGTGGAACGCATTGTCGTGCCGAATCATCTTGACCTGCGCTGCAGGATCATGTACGAGTATCATGCTGTCCTCATTCGGTACGTGAGAAGACATATTCTCTTCTCACGAGAGACTTCTACTGGAACCACCAGTACAAGTGGGTGCGCAAGTACGTACGTACTTGCGATGTTTGCCAGCGAGTAAAGCCACCACCTCACTCGCAGGTTCCTTTGCAACCACTGCCGACTCCGTCGGAGCGTTGGGAGTCCGTCTCGATGGACTTCTTTTTTTGGCCTTCCGCCCGATTCCAGGCGGAAGATTGGTATTTTTGATCTTTGTTGACCGCTTCAGCAAGATGGTGCATCTTGTTGCTGTCACAGCGGATGTGATCTCCGTACATACGGCACGTCTGTTCGTTGATATGGTGTTTAAGCACCATAACATGTCTAACGACTTTGTGTCGGACCGCGATCCGCGCTTCACCGCGCGTTTCTGGCAAGAAGTGTTCACACTTCTTGGAACGAAGTTTTCAATGCCGATTGCAGCTCATCCGCAGGCGGACGGGCAAACCGAGCGCGTGAACCACGTGCTCGAAGTTTGCTGAAGAGCTACGCCCGGTCGTTCCACAACTGGCCGACTACTTGCCGATGGCCGAGTTTGCCATCAACACTGCGGTGCATGCCTCGAATGGGCATACACCGTTCTTCGTGAACGCCATGCGGCATCCACGCCTTCCAAGCACGCTCGGGGCGGTGGCTTCCTCCTTAAGTGGGGGAGGATCTACGGTTACGCTCGAACAACCGCAGAGTACAGCTGATGCGGCCTATCAGCTGCGATGACACGTACGAGAACGAGAGCCCGCACACAACAAGGCGACGTGTCAGTGCCGGGCACTGACACTGTGAAGAACTAAGAGCAGACAAAACCTGCTTCGGCCAAGGACAACGCGTCTGTGCGGAGCACAGACACGTCGAAGACTCACGCGCAGGCCGGGCCTGTTGCATGCACAAGTGATGTATCGATGTCGTGCATCTATATTGAGACTCTTCACACGGAGGCTGGGCCTGCTGCAATCGCACACGAACTGTCAGTGCCAGGCACTGACACCACAAAAAGCCACACACAGTCTGGGACTGATGTGAAAAGAAGTGGTGTGTCTGTGCAGGGCACAGACGCGGCAAAGACCAATGAACTGGACCCTCAAGCAATTAACTTTGTCCGGGAACGACAAGCAGTTGTTCAATTTGTATAAGGTGCAATTGCAGCTTCCGCGGAACGCAGACAATGTTGGCAGGGGTAATTCAAAAATGTTTCATTAGTTTTCATTAGTTTTGTTATCTACTCAAAGCCTGCCGACACATGCGTTTCTGGATTCGCAGCAAGCAAGTTTGCTCCGCGCTTCATTGGGCCATTCACGGTGGCAGAACGTCACGGCAGTGCATACACGTTGGAAGTTCCTTCTGACATGAAACTGCACCCAACGTTCTATGTTGGGCGCCTGAAGCCCTACGTGCAGCCCGAGTCATCTAGTCGTGATGACTCGCCGACGACGACGCGCAGCGCGACCTCAGCTTCTCCTCAAGCCTCTTCACCTTCTCCCGGAGAAGGCGAACTTCTTCCGACACCTCGATACGGATGTTTGAGGTGGTCGGAGCGGCTTCGGCCACGTAGGCCTTCTGCACATTCATCTGCTGCTTCATCTCAGCGATCCGAAGAACCCGAACGCGCTCAAGAGCATCCACGCGAGCGTGGATGCTCTTGGGCATGGATGCTCTTGAGCGGCCTGACGACCGTGGTCAGCCAGAGGTCGACCATATTATGAGTGTCCGGCACCGCCGACAGAAACTCTGTCCGCGGTACGATCCACCGCGAGGTGGATCGGATTGTTGCTCATACCAGTCCGAAGGCGAACCGACGTCCGGTTCGTTTTCGTATTCGTTGGAGACAATCAGTCTCCTACGAGATACGTGGTTTCCCCGAAACGTCCTGTTGACGGACGTTCCAGAAATGGTGAAGGCGTACGAAGCCCACCATGGACCGGAGGCGTAACACTGCGGGGGACAGTGCTTCGCGGAGTGTTGTGCTCAGGCACAACATTAGGATGCTGACGCGGGCAAGCGAGCTTAGAACGTAGCCCCTTAACGTTTGCAGGTACACGGTTAGTCGTGTACCCGGTAAGGTCTCTCTCGCTGATGCGGGGAGCACCAGGAGGGCAGTGCGGGCAATGAACGCCCACTGGCACTACACAAGGAATATTTGCGTTAGCGGAAGCTTCGTGAACGCGTTGGACGACCGAAGTAACGGAGTAGTTCATGAAGCGCTCTCGAGCGGAAGCAATTCGCTCGCGATAGGCTGTCGAGTCGATGTTGAAGTTTTCGACAAACGGATTAAAGCTTTGACAGAGTGCCTGCCACTCGGGCACTCTGCTTCGCCCCGGGTGTTCTTCGAGCTCCAATACCGGAGCTCGCGAAAGAGCGAGACGTAGTAGTCTCGCCTTTGATTTGTCATCGGATCAAAGTCCTTTTAGGCAGCGTCAGCGTCGTCGACAATTCGATTGTCGACGTACAACGGTATCTCGTTCGGAGGAACCGTGTACCCGTACCGAGCTGTAATAACACGCTCGGACGCTATCCAAGGATAGCGCACTGAGTCGTCAGTGCGCGTGGCATCGCGTTGCTTCAAGGAGATGACAAGCGCTTCCAGTCTGGAAGGCACTGCATCACTAACGCTTCGCGGGCGCTTCGATGATGAAGCGTCCGAATCAGCTTCACCGGGGCGGCGAGTCCCAGCCGCAGGCTTGGAGTCGTAAGCCAGGGAAGACGAGGGTACCTCATCTTCCCTTGCTCTCCCTAGTCCACGGAATACCACCGTCGGTCGAGAGGACCGACGAATCATCGAAGACAGTCTTAGGGCTGTCTGGCTTCGCGACAACAGCGCGCTTCCTCGCCTCGAGCTGGAGCTTCTTCTCTTGGAGCTCGAAGTACTTATCGACAGAGAAGCTCTTCTCTGTCGTGCCACTTAGCGGTGTCAGCGTTGCCGACGACATAGGCGTGGAAGTATGCACCGACACGAGGGTCGGTGCGGACGCGGGATTAGTCGCAGGCGTCGCGACAGAGGTAGACGCGGACACTGGCGCAGATGCTGGTGTGCGCAGTGAGGCGCTCATTGCGAAATGAGCGCGGAGTGCTCTTGGAGGCTTGACGGACCCGTCAAGGCTTGGATTGATGTGTTGAGACCGGCACGTCATATCTGAACGGGGGTGTAACGGGGTTACACGAAACTTCTAACCGGAACGCTAATCGGTTAGAGTTTGAAAGTTTCCTGTCTTGGTGTGTTCACACACCAAGACTGTGTTCACACACCAAGACTGTGTTCACACATCAAGCCTGCATTTGAAGAGATTCTACTGGTAGAGTGCGCCACACTTCTACCAGTCAGCGATTGTGAATCACTGTCAGCCACCCTCTGAGAGTCCCTTAGATATTTGATAAACAGTTTAGAAAGATAACCCTTTAAACAAACAATACAGTTCTCATTTTACGCTATCTTGTTCCTATCTTGTCTTACCGCACACACGATGCGTGTGTACGCTATACAACTTGGGCATACCTAAGCTTCCTCCTACACATGCGCACACGAGTAACCTAACTAGTGAGCCCTAGGCCCACTACATGAGCACAACGTATCTTTACAGTTATCCCGGTATCGTACGAAGTAGTCTTTAAAACGATGCATCCATTCCTGAACACTGTTTTCATTACGTCTCAAATCGCGGTTTGCATTATTCACTTCTGATATCGCATTCACTGATAGCCTAATGTCCTGTGAATCACGATTAGAAATTCCTGATTTAGCCGAAAAAGCGCCAGAACGTCTTGAGCCAGATCCAATATTGATCAAGTGTGCAAATATTTCCGATGTTTTTCAAATTCACGTTCACTCGATGCATAAACCAATAGGCGAATACAACTGCTCAACTGTTCCTTCTGTCAGACATCAAACCCGTACGCACCACTTGCACTCTTTCTCACTTAGATATTTGATGACGTGAAATTGACATAACAGAACTCGAACACCTGGAAGAGCTGCCTTTAGCACTGCTATTTCAGTGAAGTCATTGTTGACAATGAAGCACTGGATCTCACGCCACTTTGGATTGTTCAACTTGAATTCTTCAATAGCAGTCAGTAAGGTCTCGGATTACTCGTGTTTTAGCAACCAATGCTGGACAAATTGGCTCTTTCCAAAGACGTCATGCGCCATGAAAGAAAATACTATATACTTGATCTTGTTTGTACAGTGAGTAGCATCTATCAAAAGAACTTCTGAAAACCAGGAGAACGCTTCACGCATGTGCAAAGTCTGCATCTTAAGACAAGTTGCAACTTTCTCAAAACATGTACTGGTGAATGGTTTTCTTCTTGGTCCCAGCTTTTTGCAACGTATTCACTGTATCGACAACGTCTGCTGGAATAGCAAAACGTGTCTGTGAATAAATACTGAACATCTTGGAGATAAGCTCGTGAATATGATTCCAGACCAGAACCAGACTGTTATATGTATAACAGGTGGCAGTCATGTGGCGACGACGGTGGTGACGACGTGCAATCGACAAGGCGTCGACGTTTACAGATGGGCGCGCAGGTGGACCAGGCTGGCAAACTTGGCGCGGTGGTTGAAGCTCGGCAGCAGAGGAACAGGTCCGACGCGTCCAGAAGCCACTTCGTCCAGGTGTTGGCCAATGCCCAAGGCAAGCTGAACGAGTCGGTAGGTCGGGCGGAGCACCACATGCAGCTGGGTTACGGTCTGGACGGAATATAGAAGGAGAGTGCTACCGTACGTGAGGACCGAGCGATCACGTACGTGGATCAGACGGATCCGAGCGTGAACCGTTCACGTGGGAGACCTTCCCAGCTCACTCATCAAAGTGCCAGCCAGAACGCAGGCTCTGAAGAACACGATGGCTTGGGCGCAAGTCGACCAAGTGCAGCTGCACGCAACGACGGTCAGTGGCAGCATTGACCAGAACGACGGAGACGTACGGAACCGGACGACGGGCAGGGATCAAGTCGGGCTTCTTAGGCGACGCGAACGTGGGCAGCCGGTAATGAGACACAGTCACCGCCGGTACGGCCCTGAAGCGCGAGCGTGGGTTCTGGAGGGCGACAGGAGCGCTGTCAGTAGGGCGGTGACGTAACTCACTGTGAAGAGTACGGGGAGTTAGCGGGGAGTTAGTGAGACGCCCATGGGCTATATTGAGAACGTTAATAAATAGGGCTAGGTCCGGCTGCTTTGCGGCCAGTAACGCGTTATGTTAAGTCGGTGACAGACCTCGGAAGATGACCACAGCAGCACAACTGCGTGCTACGCGACCCGCTGGCAGGCGAGCGACCGCTGACCTGTTACATGTGATAGAGCAGTATGAAACTCGTCTGGAATTGTATTCCAGACGAAACAAAATTCAGCAAACCTGTGGTGGACACTCCATTCGACGGCTTTCTTGTCGAAGTTGGTTTCCTTGGACTCTCTGCGTGGACGTTCCAGCGTGTTTACACTCCAGGCCTTTCGAATATTGCTCGAACGACTGTGGAACAATTAAGTCTG